CTCAAAGTTAAAGGATGGAAAACAATCCTACAAGCAAATGGACCAAAAAAGAAAGCAGGAACAGCTATACTTATATCAGATAAAACAGATTTCAAACTCAAAAAGATAAAAAGAGACCCCAATGGTCACTACATTATGATCAAGGGGACAATACTTCAAGAAGAAATAACACTCATTAACATATACTCACCAAACGAAGGAGCACCAAAATATATCAGACAACTGTTGTCCTCTCTGAAAACAGACATCAGAGAAAACATATACGTAGTGGGAGACTTCAACACACCACTATCAACAATGGATAGATCAACAAGACAAAAAATAAGAAACCAAAGCTCTAAATAAGGACCTAGAGCAATTGGGCTTAACAGACATCTATAGAACACTAAACCCCAAAAAAACGGAGTACACATTTTTCTCAAGCGCACACGGATCATTCTCCAGGATCGATCACATACTGGGGCACAAGACAAACATCAACAGATACACCAAGATTGAAATCATATCAACCATCTTTTCTGACCATGAAGGCATCAAACTAGAAATAAACCATAAAAAGAAGGCAAGGAACTTTCCTACCTCATGGAGATTAAAAACCACACTACTGGAAGACCACTGGACTAATGAGGAGATCAAAGAAGAAATTAAAAAATTCTTTGAATTGAACTACAAGGAGGACACCAATATCCCAAATGTATGGGATGCAGCAAAAGCAGTAATAAGAGGAAAATATATAGTAATAGAAGCTCACATCAAGAAACAAGAAAGAACTCAAAGAAACAACCTAGTCTCGAAGCTCAAAGATCTAGAAAAAGAACAACAAAAAAACCCCAAAACCAGTAGAAGAAAAGAAATAATAAAAACCAAAGCAGAAATAAATGAAATTGAAACTAAAAAAACAATCCAAAAGATCAATGAAACCAAGAGCTGGTTCTTTGAAAAAATCAATAAAATAGACAAACCCCTAGCCAGGCTCACAAAGGAAAAAAGGGAGAAAGCACAAATACACAGGATCATAAATGAAAGAGGAGAAATCACAACGGACACAGCAGAAATCAAAAGAATAATCAGTAACTACTATGAACAGTTATATGGAAACAAGTTTAACAATCTAGAGGAGATGGACAAATTCCTACAACTCTACAATCACCCAAAGCTAGATAAAGAAGAAATAGAACACCTAAACAGACCAATTACAAGCAGCGAAATTGAAATGGTAATCAAAAACCTCCCCAAAAACAAAAGCCCAGGACCTGATGGATTTACAAATGAATTCTACCAAACATTCAGAGACGAATTAGTGCCTATCCTTCACAAACTCTTCCAAAAAATTGAGAAGGAAGGGACAATACCAAACACGTTCTATGAAGCCAACATTACACTAATACCAAAACCGAACAAGGACAACACAAAAAAGGAAAACTACAGGCCAATCTCCCTAATGAACACTGATGCAAAAATCCTCAATAAAATTTTAGCTATCAGAATCCAACAATGTATCCAAAAGATAATTCACCACGACCAAGTAGGATTCATTCCAGGGACACAAGGATGGTTTAACATCCGAAAATCAATCAACGTTATCCAACACATCAACAAAAAGAAATATAAAAACCATATGATAATATCAATAGATGCTGAGAAAGCTTTCGACAAAGTGCAACACCCATTCATGATAAAAGCCCTTGAAATTCTTGGGATACAAGGAACATACCTCAACATCATAAAGGCCATCTATGACAAGCCAACAGCCAGTATCATTCTCAATGGTGAAAAGCTGAAAGCAATTCCATTAAGATCTGGAACAAGACAAGGATGTCCACTCTCACCCTGCTTTTCAATATAATACTGGAAGTCCTAGCCAGAGCAATAAGACAAGAGAAAGACATCCAAGGAATCCAAATAGGAAAAGAAGAAGTCAAACTATCACTATTTGCAGATGATATGATAATATACATAGAAAACCCCAAAAAGTCCACAGAAAAACTAATTCAACTCATCAATCAGTTCAGTAAAGTGGCAGGATACAAAATCAACACGCAAAAGTCAGTAGCCTTCCTATACACAAACATTAAATCTAAAGAAGAAGAAATCAAAAAAACCATCTCTTTTTTTATTGAAACAAAAAAAATCAAATATTTGGGAATAAATCTAACAAAAGAGGTAAAGGACCTATACAAAGAAAACTATAAAACACTGTTAAAAGAAATAGAAGAAGACACAAAGAAATGGAAAGACATCCCCTGCTCATGGATTGGAAGAATAAACATTATTAAAATGGCCATCCTCCCAAAAGCAATATACAGATTCAATGCTATTCCAATCAAAATTTCAATGTCATTCTTCAAAGAAATAGAACAATTATTGATGAAATTCTTATGGAATCACAAAAAACCCCGAATAGCCAAAGCTCTCCTGAAAAAAAAAGAAGGGAATGGAGGCATCACACTCCCAGACTTCAAACTCTACTACAAAGCCATAATCATCAAAACTGCATGGTATTGGAACAAGAACAGACATACAGACCAATGGAATCGAATAGAAAATCCAGAAATAAACCCACAGATTTATGGTCAACTAATCTTTGACAAAGGAGCAAAGACTATGCATTGGAGCAAAGAAAGTTTGTTCAATAAATGGTGCTGGGAAAACTGGGTCGCTACATGCAAAAGAATGAAGCTTGACCACTACCTCACACCATACACAAAAATCAACTCAAAATGGATTAAAGAACTAGACATAAGACCTGAAACCATAAAATACATAGAAGGAAATATAGGCGAAACACTACGTGATTTGCACATCAAAGACATCTTTACAGACACATCACCCAAAGCAGTGTTAGTGAAGGCAAAGATAAACAGCTGGGACTACATCAAATTAAAGAGCTTCTGCACAGCAAAAGAGACAATAACAAAAACAAACAGAAACCCCACCAACTGGGAGAACATTTTTGCACCCAACACTAATGATAAAGGACTGATCACAAAAATCTGCAAAGAGCTGATGAGACTCAACAACAACAAAGAAAATAATCCAGTCAAAAAATGGGCAGAAGAGCTAAAAAGAAACTTCTCTGAAGAGGAAATACAAATGGCCAACAGGCATATGAAAAATGTTCAACATCACTTGTCATCAGGGAAATGCAAATCAAAACTACCATGAGATACCATCTCACACCAGTGCGAATGGCACATATTAAAAAAACTAGCAACAACAAATGTTGGCGAGGGTGTGGAGAAAAAGGAACTCTTCTGCACTGTTGGTGGGAGTGCAAACTGGTCCAACCACTGTGGAGAGCTGTGTGGAGATTTCTGGACCTACTAAACATAGAGCTTCCATATGATCCAGCAATTCCACTCCTAGGTATTTACCCAAAGGACACAGAAACATCAATTCCAAAGAGCACCTGCACCCCTATGTTTATAGCAGCACTGTTTACAATAGCTAAGCTTTGGAAACAACCCAAATGCCCAAAAATAGATGACTGGATCAAGAAGATGTGGTACATATATGCCATGGAATATTACTCAGCATTCAAAAAAGATAAACACATGCAATTTGCAGCAACATGGATGGCACTGGAAAGGATCATGCTCAGCGAAATAAGCCAAAAAGAAAAAGAAAAATACCGGATGGTCTCACTCATAGCAGGAATCTAGAAAAGTTAAATAAGGGACCAGGAAAATGAATAACTATAAGAAAGTGAAAATCAAAATCAACAAAAAACTACGAACCAGAGACACTTTTAAGGGGGCGGGGGTGGGAGGGGAGAGATTGGGGTCAGAATGGGGGGGCTGCAATTGTATGGGGAATATAAAAATAAAATTTATTATTAAAAAAAAAAAGAAATAAATAAAACTGAAACTAAAAAAAGCAATCCAAAAGATAAATGAAACCTGCACTGCTGGTGGGAGTGCAAACTGGTCCAACCCCTGTGGAGAGCTGTGTGGAGATTTCTTGACCTACTAAACACAGAGCTTCCATATGATCCAGCAATTCCACTCCTAGGTATTTACCCAAAGGACACAGAAACATCAATTCCAAAGAGCACCTGCACCCCTATGTTTATAGCAGCACTATTTACAATAGCTAAGCTTTGGAAACAACCCAAATGCCCAAAAATAGATGACTGGATCATGAAGATGTGGTACATATACACAATGGAATCAAAAACTCAGCATTCAAAAAAGATAAACACATGCAGTTTGCAGCAACATGGATGGAGCTGGAAGGGATCATGCTCAGCAAAATAAGCCAGAAAGAGAAAGAAAAAGAAAAATACCAGATGGTCTCACTCATAGCAGGAATCTAGAAAACTTAAATAAGAGACCAGGAAAAAAGACTAATCAATACAAAGTAAAAATCAAAATCAACAAGCAACTATAAACCAGTGACACACTACTGGGGGTGGGAAGGAGGGGTGAGGAAAGGAAAGACTAAGTCAAAATAAGGGGGGGGGGTGCAATTGTATGGGGATATAACCATAATGAAAATGCATACATTGTGCAAAGATGAAAAATGATGTAAGAATTATATAAAATAAAGTATTTAAAAAAATGAAGTACAGTGCTGAGGGGAGCCGTGGGTGAGTCAGGAGAGGTCTGCTTCGCCATGTGGGTATCTGCCTGGCCGGGGATCGAACTCGTGCTGCAGTGGCTGTGGATAGCTCCATAGGTTGTGTCTTAACCCCTTGTGCCACCAGGGAGGCCCCTGTCAATTCATTAATAATACCTGAATGTGTGGGTATTTTTAGGATCAAATGAAGACTCTGGGTACTTTGATGGTGGGAGTGTTACGGTGACTACACCTGAGGGGGAACATCCTATACGTTAAATCACTAGCAAGGACGTAAAATAATTATACTTCAGTAACATTACATACGTTGGGAAAAAAAACATTAAAAAGACTGGGTTATCATCATACCTGAACATACCTTACACCATCAGCTGAAAGGCCTCCCATGACTACACAGATGATTAGGGGCCTCCATGACTTACCAGCTGGTTGTATTTGTGCTGTTCTCTTAGGGTAAGTCTTGCTTCTGCTTCTTGCCACACTCTGATTCGGCCGAGGAAGTTGAACAGAAAGATCTCGACTCATTTGCAATGCAGTCCTGCCACTTGAAAAGGCAACATTTGCTTAATACAGGTAAAACCACAAAGCTGAAAAATTAACCAACGGTTCATGCAAAATAACTGCAAAGTATGGTGAGAAGAAAAACATACAAACTCATGCGACTGTACATATATAAGGTGTTCAATGAATTCTTCTCACAAAATTAGCCAAAGGAGCATTATTAAATTATAACAGGAAAGGTTTAACTTAGAAGGAAGATCTTTCAGAGAGAGAAAGGATTTTTTAAAGGAATTAGGTTTAGATTTATGTATGTAGAATGATGGGTTAGAAATAAGAGGATGCTCATCAATTTTCAGCCCTACAACTAATTAATAAAGGTATTATGCTGGGCCCAGTACATATAGGCGATGATTCTAGGTGAATCAACAAGCCTCTGTGTTGCACTTACACAACATGGAGGGAACCAACTCCCAAAGGACTGCTCAGCGTGGTTCTACTCTGACCCCAGCCCTGGCACAACCACCTCACCACTGCCAAACTAAGTGCACAAATTTAAAGCAGGCCTAAAACCCCAAATAAAGGGCTATTTCTCCAAGGAGTCTGTGAAGATTCAAGATGACAAGCTTCCCTTGGGGAGGGGTTAATCTACTCAAGTCATTTTTCCAATAAATTGTGAAATTTCATTTGTTGGGTTTCAGTGAAAATTTCTCTTACTAAATATTCCACAGTTGGTGATTCTGAGCCAATAAATAACCCTGGTTTTCACACAGAAATATAGAATTTAGGCACAGAAAAAATGCATTTCTACTGTTGAGTGAGAGTGCCCTTGGGAGACGGGTGGGGAACATGGTTTGTGCTACCATGGGATTAAAACTTTCTATGTCTAGTCCTAGTTACCACAAAGAACAGCCATCTATGTGAGGAAAGAAGGGCTTTTAATGGCTACAAATCCCATTTATGCTATATTTATAGCATATATATTGTTGTATATCCAAGACATTGAGACAAAATAAAGTTGCATTCATAAGTGCCTCTATGAAAGTTTCCCCTCTGCAGGGTAAGTGATTATGAGGCTTTTTTGCCCTCTCACCATTAGGATTAATGATGGTCCCAAATGCATGCCTGATGGCAGGCACCTGGAGTAGGGTGTGGGCCTACGTAGGTGAAGAACAGAATGAGAGCAGAGAACAATGAAGTAATAGAGTGAAAGAGAAAATGAGCAGAAGAGAAAGAACGGGACCACAAGAGAACGCCGGAGAGCCCAGGAAGAGTTAAAATTCACTGGGAGCTGGGAGGCAATCCTGTTTCCATGATCAGCCACTTTCCTGCCTTCAAACGTGGGCACATGCACCCATTCTGTGCTGAGTGGCACTGCACTCCTTCAGTCTCAAAGTGAGAACACAATCAGCAGTCAGAGGGCTGAGGAAAAAGAATAAGAGTAGAAACACCTGGATTCAAACCCAGGCTCTGTTACTTACTGGTTATGAGCATTTAGTTCAGTTACTTTGCTTTTGGGGATTCACATTTCTCATATGCATATATGAGGATATGATATCATTTTTGGTGATATCATGCAACTCATGCAAAGGATATTCTCATGAGAATTTGGAGTCTCTTCCATACTTTAAGAAAATGAAAAGCTCTTGTGACTAGATACTCTGAGAAGGTCATCAGGATTTGGGAGTGTAGAGTTTTCAGGTCTAATTCTCATTTCTGGAGTATAAGTTCTATACAACCCATCTGTTCATCAAAACCAGGAGTGAACTTCTCCAAAGAAGACATACAGATGGCCAACAGGCACATGAAAAAATGCTCATCATTTATTATTATGAAAGTTCAAATTAAAACCACGAGATGCCACCTCCTACTTTGAGAATGGCCCATATAAAAAAACAAACAACAAATGTCAATAAGGGTATGGGGAAAATGGAACCCTCTTATATTGTTGGTGGGTAGGGATGTAGACTGGTCTGGGCCCTGTGAAAAACAGTATGGAAGTTTCTCAAAACACTGGAAATAGTTATTCTACTCCTAGGAATCTATCTGAAGAATGCAACACTAATTCAAAGAGAGATATGCATCCCTATATTCACTGCAGCACTACTTACAATAACTAAGTTATAGAAATAATCTAAATGCCTAATGACAGATGAATAAAGATGTGTGTGTGTGTGTGTGTGTGTGTGTGTGTGTAGGAATACTACTCAGTTCTAAATAAGATGAAATCTTGCCATTTTCAAAAATATGGATAGAATTGGAGTGGATTATACAAAGCAAAATAAGTCAGAAGGAACTAAATACTGGATGATGTCTCTTAATGTATGAGACATGTAAGAATGTAATGAAATAAACAAAGGAACAGAAAAAACTAAACCGAAGCAAAACTATGACTGCAGAATTGAGTCTCCAAGAAGGGGAGGGTGGGGCTAAGGAGTAAAGAGGGGAGGGGCCATTGGACTACAGGGGAGGACTACAGGTGCTTTAGCAGAGGTTAAGGTATAGTTTGGTAACATACATCTGAAGAGATAAGAACCTATACTCCTACATCATTGTAGGATAAATGGAAGTTATCAGGTTTTATCCACCCTCCCACCATTAGCATCAATAATCGACACTTGTGGTCTTATATGTGTGCCTGGTGGAGGCATCTGGAGTATACTGTGGGAGTGCATGAGTGGGCGCACCTGAGCCTGAGTGGAGAGACCAAGCATATAAGGGCGGGGGCAGCAGAGACCAGAGAGACCAGCAAGCCCAGAAAGAGTGACGAGTCACAGGATGAGGAGGGGTCCTCCTGGACCCGAGGCCCCTGCCTGCCTTGCCCTGGTTGCCTCACTACAACTGGTATAGAAAGAGCATTAAAAGTCTGAAAAAGCCATTGAGGGCTCCAGGACTCTCCTTTACCTATCTGCCTGGATTCATAGAAAACCTGTTTTGTGCCTTGCTGTCCCTACAATATACACAGTATTGTAAACTAATGTTATCTCAATAGAAAAATAATACAAAAAAAACAAAAAAAGAAATGGGAATAGACACTAAAAAAAAAATCACACACACACAGGAGTCAATCAACAAGTAAAGGCAAGGTTAATTTTTAAGGGGCTCAGAGAAAGAATTATAAGTGTATAACATGATTTAGTCACAGGTTAAATCAATTTTTATTTGACATTACTGGTCTTTGATAATAAAACAACAAAAAAATGAAAGAATTATCTGTGTATAACAAATTTTTTAGTCACAAGTTAAATCAATTTTTATTTCACATTGTTGGTCTCTGATAACAAGGACCAACGAATAAGGACCAATGAATGAGATTGCTGATTTCAGCTCAGTCTTTCCCCACAAATTAAATTTTAATTTTCTGAAAGGATTGGTGGTCACATAACATTAAATAGGTCTATTTTTTCCCATAAGTAATGACTAAGTTTTCTAAAAGACTAATGACTAAAAAGCATTGGCTTTTGAATTAGGCTGCTACCATATGGACATCACTTCTCTGCTTTCTAGTTGAGTTATCTTGAAAAGTAACTTGGCCTCTCTGAGCCTCATATTTTTTTTTTAAATATTTCCCAGTTTTTTGAACTTTTTTTTTAATATTTATTTATTATTTATACAAGCACTGGGTACAGTCAGAAGCACGGGAGGGTGAGAGAATTCACCAGAGCCAGAGCGGGGAGCAGAGCAGGCAGAAGGACCCAAGTACACTGCTGAGGGGAGCAGCGGGCGGCAGGAGAGGTCTGTGCGCCATGTGGGACCCTCCTCCGGTGGCCGGGGAGCAGCCGGGGATCAAACCGGCACTGCAGAGGCTGCAGGCAGCTTTGCAACCCAGCCCTCAACCGCTGAGCCACCGGGGAGGCCCTGAGCCTCATATTAATGAGGATAATATTACAGAAGGCTGTGGTGCTAAAATGAAGCAGTAAATGGAAAACATTCAGAACTGTTTAATAAAATTGAGACACAACTGTTAGCAATATGCTATGAAGGCTTCATGGGGTAGGAGACAAGATTTGATCATGTATGTGCGCGCATGTGTGTGTGTGTTACAACAAGGGATCAACTGATCCCCTCACTAGATTGTGATCTAAGAACACAACTGCTACTCAGAAAACCTACTTTGTTCCATAATTACAATATAACCGGAAATAATTGTATAAAAGTGAATTTCTGAAAACAAGCTCTATTACATTCTAAAAACCCTCAAATTTAATACAGCTAATGCAAACATAAAATATATTTATGCATGGAAAATCATTTTTGCCAAAAAAGTTTTAATAAACTAATATGCTTATAAAATACATTGACACTGTGGAAAATAAGAAAAAATTAAACCACAAACTTTAATGTGCATGTATGTGGACAACTGATTTAAATATTTATTCACAAACACACATACATATACCCCCGCCAAGGAAAAACATCATTTACCTATACCGGTGCTTATAACTCATGGAGCCAAACTTGCTGAGTTTTCTTGACAACGAGTTTGATTCATTTTCTGGCATTCTAATGAATTTTTAAAAGAAAATTAGATAAAACCTTATAAATACAGATACTTATGTAACACTTAAACAAAAGCTACGTAGAAATTATAATAGTGCAATACTATTAAACAATTGGTTAAAATACAATTTTTCTAAATATTGACAGAAAACAATCAGTTGTTTTAAGCTAATATTTGAAAGACAACTACACACTAAGATTTTATGTAGGCATAATATCAAAATACTCATACTTTCTGAAAACCGTTATATATTCTTTAATTATGAGTCAATTTACTTTGTCTATTTAAATTATCTTGGGAATTTTATCGTTATGTTGATGCTAAGGTTCTCAAGGCAGTTAATCATATCTGATAAGGTGGTTCATTCTTCTTTGTACAGTATATATTCCAGCATGGGGAACCTTCAACAGACACTCTCTAGGGTGCTCCTTGCCCAGCCCCCCAGACTTTCAGGACACATCCTTCTGCTAACGCAAACTGTATAAATGACACTGGACATTTTATAAGAATATTTCTTCAATATCATGCTATTTAGGGAAATTGTTCTATACAGATAAAATAGGAATAATTAATAAATAACTTGGTTTTAAATTAAAAAATAAAATAAAATGTAATGTATTGCCTTATAAAAATTTAATTTAATCTCTACACCATAAGGACATGAAATAAACAAAAAGTCTCCCTACCTTTCAATGATGAATTCTCTATCCTCAGCTTTACCTGACCTCCCAGGAGCACATAATACTGTTACCAGTTCCCCATTCATCCTGGCAAATTCAACCCTCATTCCTCATTCAACCCACACAGTCTCATGGTTACTCTTCATACTCATACTCTTCCCCTTCAAATTGCTGGGAAAGTCCCAAAAGTTCAGTCCTTGACTTTCTGCTTCTCTCATCACTTTTTCCATAAAGAGGTAACTTTAACACCTCCTAAATTTACATGGCCATCCCTGGTCTTCCAGGGAGCTTGTAACACCCTACTGCGTGCTTCACATCTCTGTTTACAAGGCATTTCTGTTAACAGGCATTTCAAGTTTAGCATGTCCACAGCAGAACACATAATTTCTATCAGCACCAAAGCTGGACTTTTTACATAAGCCTAAAAATAAATTACCTGTGACCCTTTCTTATAGTATGAGCAAAGAAGGTGTGCGTGCATGTGTGTGTGTGTGTGTGCATACATGTGTATGTGTTTGTATTAATACAATCCAGAGAATTAGATTACTGAAAAATTTAATGAAAGAGAAATACTTCTAAATTTCTACTTGGAGAAAACTCCTATTTTAAAAACAAATATAATTTTCACTTATTTGGAGAACAAAGCATTCATATCAACATACCTAAAAAATGTATGATGTTCTACACTACACTTCCAGAGATGCTTGCAGGCAGTTTTACTTCGAGCTTCAAAAAAGAATGAAGTTTCGTTGCACTGAGAGAGAGAGAAAAGTATCACTGACCACACATTCATCAGACAAGAGCCACCCTCTAGGTACCAAAAATTCAAATAAACAGAGAGATCACTGTTAACACATAAAACAAAGGATAATTATCTCTTGGCAACTATTTTTGGAGGGTTACTTGAAACCACCCTCAATTAATTAAAATTACAAAATATAAGTTCTGTTTAATCTTAGCACTATCACCTTTATTACTGACTTCTGCATCAGCCATGACTATGGATAACCAGGGTAATGAAACTTAAGTATTGCAAATGTTTCCAAAATAAGTGGACAGCAAAAACAAAAATCACAGGGAGGGAATGAGGGAAGGAGGGAAGGAGGGAAGGGGAGGGGAGGGGAGGGGAGGGGAGGGGAGGGGAGGGGAGGGGAGGGGAGGGAAGGGAAGGGAGGGGAGGGGAGGGAAGGAAGGGGAAGGGAGGGAGGGAAGGGGAGGGAAGGGGAGGGAAGGGAGGGAGGGAAGGGAAGGAAGGGGAGGGAGGGAAGGAAGGGGAGGGAGGGAGGGAGGGAGGGAGGAAGGAAGGAAGGAAGGAAGGGAAGGAAGGAAGGAAGGAAGGAAGGAAGGAAGGAAGGAAGGAAGGAAGGAGGGAAGGAGGGGGAGGAGGGAGGGAGGGAGGAGGGGGAGGGAGGGGGGGGAGGGAGGAGGGAAGGAAGGAGGAAGGAAGGAAGGAAGGAAGGAAGGAAGGAAGGAAGGAAGGAAGGAAGGGAAGAAAGGAAGGAAAGAAAGGAAGGAAGGAAGGAAGGAAGGAAGGGAAGGAAGGAAGGGAAGGAAGGATGAAGGAAAGGAAGAAGGAAAGAAGGAAGGAAGGAAGGGAGGAAGGAAGGAAGGGAGGAAGGAAGGGGGGAAGGAAGAGAGGGAGGAAGGGAGGGAGGAAGGGAGGGAGGAAGGAAGGGAGGGAGGAAGGGAGGAAGGAAGGGAGGAAGGAAGGGAGGAAGGAAGGGAGGAAGGAAGGGAGGAAGGGAAGAAAGAAATCCTGAAGAAATAGGAGATATCCATAAACCCAGTTCTTAACTGTACTACTTTCAGAATGTACAGGCTATACTTAAAATAACTGACCACCCATAGCAGTATAATTCAGGAAAATTCTGTAACATCTCTGCTATTGAGCTTTTCCATTCTTTATTCACCTAATTGAGTGAATTAAATTAAATGATAGGCCAATGTAAATTTTCACATAATAGATGTACAATGAATTTTAACTTATTTTAATCCTATAATTACTCAATTCTCTGTACCTAGTACATAGGAAATAAAGGTAATCAGTAATAATTCTCATTTTGCAGGTCTTTAAGTGACTGAATAGGTAACTAAGCAAAACATAACATGATCCTAAATTAATAAACCACAAGATCTGTGAAGTTAAATAATTTTAACTGAGTTTTAAATAAAAACTGAACAAGTTTCAAGCGTAGAAACACCCTAGAATAAGGTTTATAGATTCATAAACACAAAATTATCAGTGAAGAGGAATAATTACAATGATTCCTCCCTCGCCACCCCCATTTTTTTTTAACAAAGTCAGAACATTTATATGCATAAAATGTCTCCCAAGTCTCTCTGGAATGAGGCTGCCCAATTTAGGTATTCATTTGTAACATGAAAGAATATGAAACTGAGCCCATATACCCTACTACAATCAGGTGAGCTGCAATTCCAAACTGTAAAGTGGAGAAAGAAACCCAGAGGCCTCCCCAGGGGCCTCCCCAAGGGCCTCCCTGGTGGCCCATCGGTTGAGCACTTGGCTGCAAAGCTGCCTGCAGCCTCTGCAGTGCTGGTTCGATCCCCGGCCACCCGCGAGGGTCCCACATGGTGTGCGCACAGACCTTTCCTGCTGTGCCCACTGCTCCCGCAGCAGTGTATTTTGTCAGTCTGTCTGTTCTGCTCCCTACTCTGGCTCTGGTGACTTCTCTCACTCTCCCACGCTTCTGACTGTAACCAGTGCTTGTATAAATAAATAAATAATTCAAAAAAAAAAAAAGGAAAAAAAAACCCAGGGTTATTCCCTGGCTTAATGCTAAGCACATACTAAAATATAGCAAGTGGAAAAGACTTCAGACTTGGATGGTTAGGGACTGGATATAAATTCAGATTAATTTTGAGTTTTGAGATGTCCATGGAATAGAAAGCTAAACATAGCCCAGTAGCTCATTCAACTTACTGGTAGGGAGCTGAGGGGTATCTGTCACACAGAGGATTTCACCTAAGTGTAAGGGAGATTGTTTGGGGAGAATAGATCAGGATGAATCCCAAGGAGGGTGCCTGGAAAGGTGATGTGAGAAAGGTCAAATGAACCATACAGCAGTGATGTCAAAGAGGCTGGGAGGAACATGGGATGCTTATATGACCTGAAAAGGTCAAATCAGATTTGAAATGTCTGTCAGAATGTCCACCGTTTCATGGTGAGAAATTTTCATTGACTTTCATGAAAGGGTAGTATTTACAAAATTAAGACAAGGGAAAGAAAGACAATGAAATTAGAATGTTTTCCTCAAAAGCAAAATAAAGTGGGGGGAGGGTGTGGAAGGAGATGCAGAGGAAATCACAGAAAGTCCTTGGTGTGGAGTGGGAAGGTCAAACTTCCTGTCGAGAGGTGGGGTGTTATGGGGATATTTCCTTTTCCTTTACTTTTTCTTAACTCATAATATACACAAATGGCACAAAAGTCAAAAGTCACCAAAGTGGCTACACAATAACTGAAATCTGCCTCCCACCAGAGGCAACCTGCTCACCTCCTCAGAGGCAACCTCTGTTAAGAGTTTCTTATATAAAAATGGACATTTTAAGGTCTCTGGACTATCCAGAAAGAAAACTCACAGGTCAGTTATTATTTTTTTTTTCATTTGCAAGATTGGGATAAGCTATTAAGATAAAGCTAGCACAGTACAGGCCACCCCTGCCCTCCCCAGCTACTATCTCCCTGAACCCGTTCACGACCACCTCTCTGTGCCTTCATCACAGAAGCACAAAGTGCTGCCCAGGGCACACTGGGCAGCGCACCAGCCAGAAATGGTAGCTGCTGATGACCTGTGATACAGACACTTCACATTTTAGCTAGAGCATTCAGAAAGGAGGAACTTAGGCACCTAAATAAAAAATCTTATTTAATTCCCTATACTCCAGATTGCCAAAGTAAAAAAGAAGCAAAAAAGCATGCATTCTCAAAAATGAAGTAAATCTGGGCCCCCCTGGTGGCGCAAGGGGTTAAGACACAAACTATGAAGCTGTATGCAGCCACTGTAGTACAAGTTCAATCCCCGGCCAGCCAGAGAGTAACCCACAAGGCACAGCAGAACTCTCCTGCCTCGTCTGCTGCTCCCCTCAGCAGTGTAATTCGATCAATCCTCCTGTTCTGTTCCCCATTCTGTCTCTAGTGAATCCTCTCACCCCCCCGCATCTCTGGCCTGTACCCCAGTTCTTGTATGCATACATAAATAAATCTTTAAAAAAATGAAGTAAATCTGTAAACCTCAAATTGTTCTTGGACCAGTGTTAACTTTATCCTTCACATAAATGTGTTTACTCTTTTACATTCAGTTTAGAGACTTCATCATAGGTTACCCAATTTTCAAATATTTTTTTAAACTACCATCACATAATTAAAGAATTCCAGGTATTTAAAATCCAACCTGAAGTGGTTTTTCTCCATATCCTTTGGTACAAATATGCTAGAAGGACAAAAGAAGTTCCTGAAGCCCTCCTAATTACTTCTGCCATGGACAAGTGACAAGTATGAACTCATTCTCCATTTGCATAGCACTATAACACCACTGCCTGTTTTTATCCCATTGTAAGCAGAATGGTCCAGACAAAAAAGGGGGTTAACATAAGTAAAAAGAGAGCCAGATTTTCTGAATGGATTCTGTGTACTTTTGCCACTCACAGTAACTGCTGGAATGAATATAACTGATGTGGCATTTCAAGTGTCTCTTTCTTTATGTTACTCTTCTGATAAATCTTTTCCAAACATATAGTGCAAATTAACACCTTTTCACCCATTCATACAGTGATGAGCAGCTACTTAATTTAAGAAGTTCATTCAACCTACTGCTAAAAGGCATTCAATGCTTGCTTTTGGCAAAAAATATTAAAACACTTCTATTCAATGCCTAAAGCGAAGCTATTGTCTGAATCTATTTCTTTCTTTTTTTTATATTTATAAACTGACTGAGCTTAAATCAGCATTCAGATATCATGTGGGGGCTTTATGACTCCATGGAACTCTAAAAAATTTGGCTCAAATTCCTAATTCCATCATTTGCAAGAATTCAGGACCTATGTATCAACATTCCCAACATAATTCCATCTGAATTTCTCAATGTCTTTTCCCATCTTTACTATGTTTTTCTTTGCAAGCTTGAAATAAATCTAGTTTATTATGGCTTTTCAAAAGTATACTTGGATCACGGAGGGGCTCATTCTGCAAGCTGATCAGCAATTTACTCTCCTTGTGCCTCCTCAAACCTCTCCACCTGTCCCAACTCTATGTTCTCTACACCTAATCCTCCTTGTCACACATAATCCTATACTAGTAGGCTCCTTCCTGTTTCTATTTTGGAAAAAGCCATGACTAGACAATCTATCTTCCACAGCCTTCTTGGAATTAGGAGGATGAGCATTTTCTCAATCCTATTACAGTCATGCATTGCTTAACAACAGGGACACACTGTGAGAAATGCATCATTAGACGATTTTATCTTTACATGAATGTTTTAGAGTACACTTACACAAACCTTGACAGTAACTATTACTACCAAACTAGCCTCCATAGCATAGCCTATTGGGGCCACTGCCATATACATGTTCCATCACTGACCAAAACATCATTCATGGCTATATCGCTAAATTTTACAACTGGCTCACCTCTGAAGTCACTAGAAGTAACCCAAAGTACGCTGCATAGGTCAAATATTTAAAAGTAAAAGAGATTAGTATTTCTAGTAATATTAAGGTTCAATCTGTATATAAGTACCT